CTCCCCATATGTGTGGGCTAAATCTAGTGACTTGCTTCTATCCGACAGAACATAACAAAGTTATTGAATATCATTTCCAAGATTAGGTTGTAAAAGACTGTGATTTCCATCTCCTTCGTACTCTGCCTGTGACTCTTCTCACTTACTGGCAGTGATATAGTAAGCTGCTGTGTTGTGAGCTTCCATATGGAGAAGCTCATGTGATAAAACAGAGGCCTCAGTCCAATATCCCATAAATAACTAAATCTTGCCAACTACTACAAAGTGATATTAGAAGCAGATCCTCCAGCATGCACACCTCTGACCAACCCCTTGAGTGCTATCCTATGAGAAACCATGAGACAGAGGACACAACTAAGCCACTCCCAGATTCTTAACACACAGGCATCATGAGTCCACAAGTTTTATAGTAATCCAGAAAATACTGGGGTGATTTGTTATGCAGCAACAGACAGCTAACACAGAGGGAAGGTTCTTCTCCATGAATGGAACAATTGAGTAAAGTTAAATTGAAGGACAAGTTCTCAAAATAATTGATGGGTAGGAGAGCATTCCATTCACAGGGAAAGCAGATATTCAGGTTGCACTGAGAACAGAAATGAGTTAGATACTACTAAAATATAACTGCTTCTGGAGATGGGTAGCCAATAAGACAGTAAAGGTGAGCAACACAACATTCAAAAGATATGGAGATTTTTAAAAAATACACTTAAGCCAGTTTTGGTGGTACATACTTGTAATCCTAGCAACTAAGGAGGATAAGGAAGGAGGATTGCTAAGTTCAAAGCCAGCCTCAGCAACTTAGAAAGACCTTATCTCAAAATAAAAAAAATTAAAAGGGCTAAAAATAAAATAAAAATTAAAATGGCTAAGGATAAAATAAAAAGAAAAAGAACAGCTCAGTGGTAAAGTACCCTTGGGTTCAATCCTTCATACCTCAAAAATATTTCAAAAGATATAATAATAATCTTTATTTATAACTTACAAGATAAATCAGTTAACAAAATCATGACAAGTACATGACTATACCAGAGTGCTTAGAAATCCCTAAATCTTAAGCTAGAAATTTGTCTAAATATGTTTTTGAAATAGGTTAGATTCTGCCCTGAATACAGAGTCTTGGAGAAGCATAATACACTGCTAATCATCTGCTAATCATCCCAAGTTCTTGAAAATCCTAAGACCCTAGGAAGCAACATAACTTCTTTCAGCATTGCATATTTTTCTGCACTGAATTATATCAGCATATTTTTTACTATTAAATTTCCCTCTGTATCTAGAAATCCAACAATGGAACATTTAGGCTTCTACCATGTGACTGTCTTATGGGAAAAGTTCAAACCAGAGGCAAGTTCTTTTTGGATTTTGATGAGTCCCAGCTTTCACAGAGAACAAGCAGTACTAGTCACAGAGAATGAGGGCACTTCCAGACAAGGGTCACCAATTTCCCCAGGGCATCCAGGTTTCAGCACTTGGTTAAAAAAAGAAGAGGAGAAGAATGCTTTAGAACCTTGGTATGAGCATGCCCATAATCTTACACATGTGCACACACCTTCAGAAAGAAGAAGATAAATGTGTGTGATAACTGACTTTCCCCAAAGACTCTTCCGCTTAAGTCATAAGGGTGATTCAAAAAACAGAATGTCTGCTTAAAAAGGCACATTGAACTCTCCTGCCTAGTCTCCCTCTGACACCTAAACATTGTCAAGATGGAATTATAGGAACAGGAAAAGAAAGAAAAAGAAAAGGAAAATAAGGGAAGAGAAAGCAACCATATTTAGGATGACAAAGGAGAAAGAAAAATGAGCCCTTGCTGGTATGGCATAGAAATGGTTTGATAAACAAAAGAAAGAAAAAAAAATTGGCAAGAAACTGAAACCTGCAATGAAAGGTAGACAGATTTGTAAGAATCATTAAGCGATGTTAACTACAGTGAAATAAAAAGAACTGTCAGGTGGCCATTGGCCCTGTTCCTTTTAAAGAATTAATAAAACCAATATGTGAATGATTTCATGTAATTGCAGCAGGAACTCACGATGAGGTGTAATTACAAGTGCGTACCTTCTGAGAGTCTCAGCCACTTTTATTGACTTTGCTATCTTTGGTATTGAACCTGGGATTGTGTGGTCACAATTGCTCTCTGCCTCAAGTTAATGTAGACATTCTTGTCTATAAGTTTATTAAGCATTTAAGGAAGAATTGTCCACCAGAATATTCTGCATTGATGGAAATATTCTATATCTATACTGTCTCATCTGGAAGATGCTACCTGCATATAGGTAGCTACTAAGCACCTGAACTATGAATACTACAATTAAGGGACTGAATTTTTAATTTTATTTAATTGGAATTAATTTAAACAGGCACATGGCCAAATTTTACTCTGTTAGAAAGCATGGATTCATAGGAACTTTAGGGAAAGCAGCAGGATTTTACGTTTTCTATGTAAATTACCAGTGCATGATCAGCACAGTTAGAGGTAATGTAAGGCTTTGCAGGAATTCCTAAATGAGGGCCATGACAGTCACATAAACCAATAAGTTTAAAAGATTATATATGGGGGGTGGGGTAGTGGGATAACAGCCAGTGATAATTTGCCCAAAGAATAATACTTCTTTTAATACTCAAGAAAACATTGAAAAATGCCAATACAGGAGGTATATAATCCATGTTGCAAAACACTAATACCCCCTTGGAAATTTCCAACTGTCTAAGAAAGAACTGTCAAAAGGCTTAAGTAGACTGTCTCTAAACTAAAACATGTTACACAAATTGGCTTTACAAAAGAAAAAACATGCAAATTAAAGGGGGTGGAAAACTATTATTAAAAATGATGCAGTCAAGGGGCTGGGGTTATGGCTCAGCAGTAGAGCACTCACCTAGCATTTTCGAGGGCTTGGGTTCAATCCTCAGCACCACATAAAAATAATAAATAAAATAAAGGTATTGAGTCCAACTACAACTAAAAAATAAATATATATATATTTTAAAAATAACGTAGTCAAATAGAAGATTACCACATGCATTGGATCAAAACTTGAAGTTATTGTCTCATCATGATTTTAACTAAAGTTCAAAGTAAATAGCACTCTTTATACAGAAACAAACTAGATCAAGAGCAAGCTGGTAATTTACATATGGCAAAGATGGAATTTATTACTGTTCTTTATACAAAGATACTTCTGTTCTAGGACATTCCTTGGACAGCACCAGACACCCTGGCAAAGAATGAATAAGACACAAATAAGACTTCTACAAAGCTTGACTCACTCAGCACATATTAATTTGACCGGAGGAAATCAACAATGTATACTGATTTTCAGATCACAATCACTTGAGTAATTTAAGATGTAGGGCTTTAAGTAGAGAAAGGAGTGCCACACTTATAAATACCTAGAAGTTCCATTGCTCAGAGAAGCTATTAATACGCAGCCTCTGTGTGTATTTAACTTGTATTGAGACATTGTCTCGAGAAAGGTAAGAACTGATGTTCTTTTTATTTGTGCCAATTACATGCTAAGAGATGCTGGAATCTTTCAAGTCATTGACGTAGCAGAATTTTTTTCTCATTTGACTCTGAATCTTATTTGATTTATTGAACCATGGCTAAGTAACACTTCATAGCGATTAGCTACCATGCCATTAATTTCCATGAGTGTCTTCACATTCTCAGATTAAATATATAAGGTAATACAGTATTGGCATACATAAATATAATTTCAATGTGATAAGTAATTTTTATAAAAATATTTTAAAAATTTTAAAGTATTGGAATACACAACCAGGCTCATAGAAATATTAAAACACCCAACATGAACCCTTTTTTCATCTATACATGGAAGTCAAATAACTATGATGCCTATAATAAGCAACTAAAATTTGCATAATATATTGGATACTACTTGAAAACTGGGTTTATAATATAGTTTTATTGAATTCTTTAGATAAAGGCCTACCAATAGCATATATAGACAATGAAACTAGAAAAAATGAGGAGACAACATAATTAGAATCAGACCAATGAGCACAGAAACCAGTCTATGTGTTCAGTCCAAGACACATCAGCCTCTGTGCTTTGATGCTGCTAACTCCAAGCTCAAATATACTCATGATTTAGTAATAGTCCCTGTGTGTATATATATAGGTACACCCAAGCAATGCAGTCTGTAGAGGCAGACACCTCCCACAATTATAGGAATAAGAACATGTTTAAGCCCTCAAAATTTTCATCTGAGAGGGCAAAAATTATGATTGAAACTTGGTCAAGATTAAAGTGCAACAATTTAACATAGCATTTCACATTTTCTCTTTCTTGCAGTGTTCCACCTAATGTGTTAGGTTCTAATTGCTCCGGGCTATTTGGGAAGCACATTTATCAAAGATAACTTGGGGGCAACTTTTTGCATTATAAACCTATTAGTGACTGGGAATTTCCCTCTATTAAATTCAAACACTTAGATTCAGACTGACCAAGCAGTGATTATGAAAAGTTGGAGAACTGTTCCAAACATGGGAGCTAAAGAGGCCAGCTGTTAGTATAATGACTTCTAAGAGACACCTCAATTTCACAGTGTAAGAAACCAATGCACTTGAAAAACTTTCTGCTTTACAGGAATAATATGAAATTATCCTAAATGGAAGCTTTCAGAATAAGGAAATGGCAGGGTATTAATTAAGGATCCCACTCTGGTGTGTGTGTGTGTGTGTGAGCGCGTGCGTGTGTGTGCACTTTCCTTTTTTGTCAATGATTACATTTCATATTAAAATTGCAGTTACAGAAACGAGATATGGCCAATATTGCCCAGAGCTTGACATTCAGAGACACTAACTAACAGGCTAAGTATCTGTTAACTGTTTCCTTTCTCTTTCCTCCTCTGTAGAAAACCTCTCTCTCAAATCATCTACACTGAAATAGAAATGACATACAAAATAGTTTGCAAATAATGTTTTCCTTAAAGAAAATCACTTTCTCATTTTTCTCCCATCTTCTTCCCCACCAGATTGCATTGCACTCCTTAATGTATCCCTGCATGAGAAAAAATAAGCGGATTCCAGAATCTTCCCCTCCTTTTCTGCATTCTCAAAGCAAGACCTGAAGCTTGTCAAATGCAGAATGTGATGCTGAACCTATGGCAAGTTCAAGCAATGAAGGGCAAAGGTAGGAACCAAACAAAACAATCCCAAAGAACCCATGTTGAGCAAAGCCAGCAAAGAAATTATGCCAGGATGAAGTTCATGAAGCTCACGCAGGCCAAAAACCTTGCTCCTAAGAGCTCCCCATGTGTAGTTGCTAATGCACCGGAAATGTGATTAGCTGCCTGAGAAAGGCCTAGAATTACTCTCATTCTGACTAGATTACTGGATAATTAGATTGGTAGCACTCTTCCCAGTCTGTGGCTGTCAGATTAAATCCAGCTGGTTCTCTTCAGATAACTGTCATGCTTCACAATAACAAACAGAAAGTGACACGGTGAAGAGTTTTATTTTTAAAGTGTTCAAGGAATCAAAATGCCTATTTTTTCTTAATAATAAAACATGAAAAATGTTCAATGGACTTGAATTTATTCAAATTGTCATTATATTTGATTAAGAAAATGCTACCAGACAGAGTCTGTCCAGACAGGCTTCATCTGTGTTGGTAAATGGAAATCAGCAGGCTTGGCTGGTCTTCTCTGGGATCTGTGGGTAGAAAGGCAGCCTGGAACTACCCAGAGAGGGAAGGGTAGTTCTTTTTTAACGTGGTGAGTCTCCAGCCTTTTACAGCACAAGTCAAGTTCAATAAGGTATACAGAGCACCTCTCCAAGCCCCGGAGAGATCTATGGAGCTCTTCTTTCTCCCCCTGCAGGACAAGGACACATACCCTTTGTACTTTAAAAACATTTACTCTTTGGTACCATTAAAAGACAATAAACAAACTGATAGAAGAAAAGCACAAATCCAGTTTCTTGTAAAGTTCCCTTAGTCTTACTCTTCTATTCCTACTGACTGTATTTTCTTTCTTTCTTTCTTTTTTTTATTGCTTCAGGCAAGTTCTGACACAGTGTCCCCTGAGATATGTACCCAGGCCCCTGGCAGAAGATGGGAAGAGGTATGGAGAGAGGAGATGCTCTCTTAGGTAGTACTCACAGACTCATAAATTTTTATTTCTTTGTGTAAATAGGACTGATTTTCTATTTATGACATAAACATAAAGTTTTGTTTCAAATTGAACTTTCAAAAATAAACGTGAGACTAAGGAAAAGTTTGACATTCGGATATGGCAAAAATTACAGATGTAAGAGACTGAAAGGAACAACTGGGTGTAACTGAGTGTGAGGGAGAGCTGGGAGCCAGACCTGCTGGCGAATCCCAGCAAGTGCATAACTGCACACTTTCAGGTAAGCTCATTTATGTCACCCAGCTTCAGGATCCACTTCATGGGTAGACCCACAATTTATCCCCATTCTGATCACAGACACTCAGAAGATATCAGCAGTGAGCCCTGTCACAGTACCTGTGTTCAACAAATGGAAGCCGTTATTTTTTTTAAATCTCTTCGTAAAATGTTCAAGAAATGTCAGCTCCCTGTGACTAAGACTTGTCTAATTCTCCCTTTCTCCATTTTTTGGTTCCTTCTCAATTGGGAAGACAGGTCTAAGAGGGATTCCTTGGTTTCTAATGTTGAATGTTCATTTCCAAGTCCCCCAAAAGAACCATGTAGGTTTTACTGGGCCTTTGCTCCTCATGGATTCCACTAACTCCAGCATAACTGCCCTTCTCTTTCCATCCCTAACCCTATGCAAAGCGCCTGCCTTGACGAGGTGCTCAACAGACTCTACTCCAGTGAATGTGTTCATTTAAGAAGCAATAAAATATTCTTCAGAAGATCAAAAGGTTCATATAATACAGAGGAGATAAAATGAGCTGTCAGTTTCTAAAAACTCAGTGGAATGAGCTTAAAATTAAATATGTGCTGTATTTATTTATTTTTTATTCTTTTGCAAAAGGAAGTGAATGTTTTTACTGTTTAAAGAGTGTTTCAGGGGTTGGGGTTATGGCTCAGTGGTAACAGTGGTAGAGCACTTGTCTAGTATGAGAGAGGCCCTGGGTTGGATCCTCAGCATCACATATAAATAAGTAAAATAAAGGTATTGTGTCCACCTGCAACTAAAAAAAAAAAAAAATTAAAAAGAGTGTTTCATATGCTATTAAAACAAAGAATTGGCACAAACTTACTGTAATGAATGTTAGCAATACCTAAAAATATGCATTAAAATATATTAGAATATTACCATTTGATTCAGTAATTCCAACTCTAGAAATTGATTTTAAAGTAATTGTCCTGGATTAGCACTATATTTAGTTATAAGAAGGACCAATGTAACCTTCTTAAAATGTCAATGATCTGGAAATATCTACTATTTTCAAAAATAACCTATTTAATCATTTATGATGCTTCCTTACAAAGAGAAAAGCATGTGGCCACTGAAAATGATGTTTTGGAACAATATTTAGTAACAGATTTATTTTAAGTTATATAAAGTTCAACAATGAGATTAAAAATACAGTGTGTAAGAGTAGATTTATTTTTGTATTTTGTGTTTAAGCAAAAACGTAAGAATAAAAGATTCCCAAATGTTAGTTATACTTGCCAGGGTTGGAACATAGATAATTTTTATTCTCTTCTTAGAATTTCTTTCCCTGAAGTTTCTATTATGAATAAATACCAATAATGGCTAATTTATTTTTGTACAGTTGGCCAAGGACTATGCCCTGCTTGCTATGTGCATTAACTCATGTAATCCTCAGAAAAGCCCCATAAAATTGAAAGGTTCATTATTCCCATTTACAGATGAGTAAACACAGCTGCAGAGGAGGTAAATAACTTACCCAAGGTCACACAGCAGTAAGGAGTTGAGCTGACCTTCAGACTATTTTATCTGACAGTGAAAACTGAACATTTTAGGGTTACATACAACAGGGATCCATGATATTAATCTTAAAATAGGGGGGAAATTACCTTTAAAAGAAGGAAAAGAAGCCAAGAATCACTGTATGATTGATAGCAAAAGGAATTGTACAGATGAATGTAAAGTCATTAAAATGCTCCCCCCTCCACTTGGAAACAGAGGCATTTATGCATGATCTAAGATTTTGCAGAACACACCATATTTGGAGAACCCAAGGATTTTATTTTGTATTCAAGAGTTGAATCAATATATATCTTTCTTAAATATACATAGTGTAGTATACTTCTGGATACTATAGGATTTTAAAAAGAGTATTAAGCTTTGTTGATATTCTATGGAACTTAGAATTATTTGTTGAAAACACATGAAAATGATTTTTATCTCCCCATAGTTAAATCATTTTCCCCTTTATTATAGAGGAACTATATAACCAAGGTCAACAACACAGCATTTAGAGAGAACCCTTCTACCTTTTGGTATTTGTTCTTTATGTCTTTCTGGTGTGTATGTGTGTGTGTATGTAACCAAAATGTCAATGGCATATGCCAACCCAGATCTTCCAGGTTTCTGGAGTCACCCACAACACACCTGGATCTGCTTCTGTATCATTGTGATTTTATTATCTTCTCACTGGCATATAGCAGTGGCACAGGAGGGGATTATGTCACACTCAGTGAAGAGTTTACATGTTCACAGTGGATACCTTCAATCCTGTGTATCTTCCTCATCCTCACCAACTGAACACCTCATGGAACATTTGCTCATTTTTCTCCTCCTCCTCTAATCTTTCATTCAGTCTCCTTCTCTTTTCCTTAACGTATCTTTCCTTGCTTAAGAGATATCCAGGAAACTAAAGGTGGACTTCTGAGGCCAATTTTTGCAATGGCACTTTCTTTTATTCTGTTTTATATTCTGATCATTTCTGATCATACTCTGTTTATGTGTGGGGAGGGTAGTACTCTTAAATTCTGTCGTGAACATTTTTTTGTCATTGAATATTTTATGATGGACATTTTCTTATCTTAGTGTAAATCCTTTGGAAACAGAACATTAGGACAAATAAAATTTAAACTTAAAGATATAATAGTATGCTTTTCCAGAGTTTGTAGAACAGGAAGTTTCATCAGTGGTGTTTATACAGATATAATCCCCTTGGATACTTTCATTTGGTAGGTCTTGGAAAGGATTAAGGAATCCTTACTTTATAATGAGTGCTTCCAAATTAACTCTCCCTAAATATGACCATGACCCTCTCCTTGGACAAAAAAGTCATATTCAACTTTTTGCAAAACTAGAGAAATACTTTTGAATTCTGATGATTTTTATGCACAGATTAAGTTAAAGCACTTAAAAGTTCAGCCCAGGTTAACCATCTAAATATGCCTAAAGTCCCATCCTGGTCTCTTTCTCCAAATTGGACTATTTCTTGCAATAGGACTTTTCTACCATTATGAGTAAACTAGAATAACTTGAAAATAAATCTACAAGACTTTAAAACAATGAAAGCAACTTTTAATCCTTGGGGAAAGAGAGTTATTCTGATTGATAGTTTTAGGCAGTTGAGGAATCTGAATATGTTTTTTAATGTCTCAAATTTTACAAATGCAGTTTTGTTTTACAGAAAATTTTGAAGTTTGAAGCAATGTCTGATGAGCTACAAGGTTTGCATTAATTTGTAGCATCTAAAGTAAATAAGTAGTCCATGCCTTAAAATAGACAGCTTGGTAACATTTGAAGAATAGCACATTTTCTCAACCTTTCCTACTGTATTTCAAATCAAGAAATGTCTGTGATGAAATTTTAGAAACTATGGAATGTGTTGGCATGTTACAGATCTTCACAGACTTCAAATGCTTCACAAGTCATTCACTTGAAAGGCAACTGAATACTTAGGTATTGAGGTATTTTTTTTTTTATATAGTTCTAAGATGAGGAAGAATTAGGAGCATTCCCTAGATACAGACCACAAGAAAACAATTTTGGGGTCCTGTCAGGTAACAGAAAATAGTGACAATTTATCAAGTAATTTTGCAGCTGTGAGGGGAAAATCTTGTAAGCCACATGATCCAGGGAGATTAAATGAAACTCTCAGGGTAATATTACAGTATCAAAAGTTATAAGTTACAGCCTTGGTGGATTAATGATTTCTAAATACATATCTTTCAGCTAATATAAGATAGGCTTATAATCTACTGTTGACTTGGATTAAATTTTAATGCATGCTTTTACTCAAGAAGAATCATATGCCTCATTATCCTGTCCTCACATGCTTTCTAACATGCATAAAATTACAAGAATAAAACTCATCTGCACATTGTTCTCAGTCATATTGAAATTGCATTTTAGGCTCTGATGTTTTTTTGTTTGGAGGGGTTGGAGAAGACTATCTGTCTATCTATTTATTTATCTATTTCCAAGAACACCTTTCCAACTTAGTTACTGGGCTCTCAAAGACCTTGACCTATGTGGGCCCTACTAACATCTGGCTATTTACGGAAAGGCATACTTTTACAACTCAGGATTGCCTCCAAACAGAATTAATATCCAAAACAAAGATGAAGAGCTTTTTCCAATGGCAGTTTTTTTTAAAAAAAAGATGGTATCTAATTATCATCAGTGGCTTCTCAGGGGCCTTTATAAATACTTTCAGAGTTTTGAGCATTATTAGTAAGTTTGTTTATTGCTCTTTAAGTGATTTCTTCCATTTTATGAAGAAAGAAATGGTCTACTCTAGTGCCCATGTTGTTATGGGTACTAAATGCTTCATGAACGTATCCTGGTAATAAATACTCTATAATGAGGAGACAAGGGACTTGCAAAGATAATACTCAACACAGTGCTCTTAGTCAAGATGCATCATGCTGCCTGTTCCTACAGGAAAACTGCTTCTTAAACTTGCCTGTGAGGAGCAACCTGAGATGCCTGTAAAAATACAGAAACATGGGGGCTGGAGTATAGTGATTGCTTAGCATGTGTGAGGTCCCATGTTGGATCCACAGCACCACAAAAAATGAACAAAATCAACAACAACAAAGTACAGAAACCAGGACATCACCCAGAACTTGAGCTCCAAGAGAAGAATTGTACATTCTTGATAAAAAAAAAAAAAACAGACACAGAGCTCTTGCTAAATTCCTTCATTTGCACAGGCACCAACAGGAAACAACAGTCCCCAGGGATGTCAATCTGGACTGTTTTAGGATCAGAAAATTAAGTAGAAATAAACCCACCAATAAGCAACATGAAAAAAAA